GGGTCTGCGAAGAACACAGCAGCTGTGCATTCTTACAGAACCAAGAGCTACACATTTCTTTTCTTTCTTTTGTTAAAACCTAGTTCTTATTACCTCCCAAACCAAAATAATAAAATGCCTATTTTTCCCCCAAAGGTACTGGCCTATTTATTCACTAGCCAGCAATAGAATCATCTTATTAAATGCTAATAATTTGATTATGCTTAATTTTCAGCTATAAAGTATTATGAAAAAGGTTCCTCTCCCAGCCTTCAAAGGAAAAGATAAAACGGCTTTTCAGTGCCTACTATGCACTAATTAATGTTTGTCTTTTCTTTTCTGCCAAAGCCTGGGAAGGGTTTTTCATAACTCCTTTACAGCTGAAAGAAGAGCATAATTTATTTACCTAATGGCAAGATGGTTTGTGTTATTAGCTAATGAATGGTAGGGTAAATTAGAAAAATGGAGAGTGGACATGGCATGCTTTTTTGTTAGTGGATTAATGAGGAAACAGAATCACACTGATTTTCTTGCTCTCCCATAGAGTGCGACAAGTTTAACCAATGTGGGACATGCACTGAGTTCAAAGAGTGCCATTCCATCCAGAACTACACCCTCTGGAAAGTGGGTGACTACGGCCCTGTCTCTGGGAGGGAGAAGATGATGGCAGAAATATACGCAAATGGTCCCATCAGGTGAGGGGAGGTCCCACCAGGTGAGGCTGCAGCAGTGTACACACGTGTAGGTATTTTCACCCGTACTTCTGGCCAATTTTACTCACTAAGCTTGGAACAAAGCTGCCACATAGTTTCACCTCTAAGAACTCCAGTTTCCTCAGAAGTAAAACTGAGGTCATAACTAATCTGCCCCTTATGGGATTGCTGTGTGAAGTACACAGATGACCAGCTCCGCAAGCTGTAGCAGGTGTTGTGGAGTTGGTGGGGTTGTTTCAGCAGGGAAAACACTAACAGCAGAAGTTTATCCAGATCGTCTGCTATGCACTGAGTTACTGTTTCTAACAATGAAAATTCTCTCAATTTAAAGTGGTGATTCTTTAAATGCTTGCTCTCAGCTGCGGTATTATGGCAACAGAAAGAATGGAGAACTACACGGGAGGCATCTATGCCGAATACAACGATATGGCCTACATCAACCATGTCATTTCTGTGGCTGGGTGGGGCATCAGCGATGGCACTGAATACTGGATTGTCCGGAACTCATGGGGCGAACCATGGGTAAGATGTTTTCACTTCCTCAAGGTCATACCTAGAAGAATTCTGATACTCCTTGATCGGTTTGTTGACTCCTGGCTGAGAACTGTGGCCTTGAGCAGAGGAGCTTCTTGCTGCAGCCCAGTCTCTCACCTGTGGTGCGAGTGACATTTGGGGCCAGATACCTCTTTGTTGTGTGGGGCTGTCACTGTCCTGTGCACTTTAGGGTGTTGAGGAGCATCCTGGGCCCCTCCCCACTAGATGCCAGTAGTTCCTCCCTTAGCCCCACGTGTGACGACCTAACTGTCCCCACACCACTGTGCGGCTGCACTTCGGCTACCTCCCTCTTCACAGTCATCTCTTTTTCCCGTCATAGTTTAGGTCTCCTAGGAAGTACTATGTACGTTTTTCAAAATCACTTTTGAATTAGGTCGAAAAAAAAAAACCTAGGGGAGATAAGTTAATTGGCAGGGTCTTAATTTTTAAGACCTAGTATCAACCATTAAGTTTAAGAAACATAAATTCATTACTATGAAACGGGACATGGCGGGTGCAGAAGTGATGGGATGTTGGTGTTTCTTAGTCAGTGACTACAAGTGGGGTGCTGGCACATGGGTAGGTAGGTCATCTGGTGTAGCAAGTCGGCTTGCTTTGTCACACCAATTAGCTTTTGGCATGGAGGGCCCTCCTGTTAAATAATAACCAAGTGAAATATTTCACAAAAGACATTTCCAAATAGGGCTCATGGGAAGGGTGAGGGTGGCTGAGTGGGTTCTTTGGGTCCCTGGTGTCCTCCCAGGCTGTGCTGCATGGTGGAGGAACAGGGGCTGGGACAGAGGACGAGCTGATGCATGGTTTTCACTCCTCCCACAGGGCGAGAACGGCTGGATGAAGATTGTGACCAGCACCTACAAAGATGGGAAGGGTGCCAGCTACAACCTTGCTATTGAGGAGAACTGCTCGTTTGGGGACCCCATTGTTTAAGGTGGACACCTCTGGGAGGGTAGTTTAAGAAATTATAACATGAACCATAATCACAGGGGATCCTACCATTGTGGGCACTAGGCTGACTGGCAGGAACTGGGGTAACTGATAGCGATATTGGACAGCTTCAGTGGCACTGAACACCTATACGGTGCCTGTCAACATGAGGCCCGATGCTGTACCGGCTGCAAGGGCATTCCCAAGAGCTGAAGACAGGATGACGTGAGCACCCGCATAACAACAGCAGTCAGCGACCTGGGGAAGAAGTGATCCACAGGACAGCAAATTATGGAACCCCAATTTTCTTTAGGAGAAGGCTTGGTATCTTGGTATTTTGTATTTGGCAACTGTGGTCTATAACATGGCATTTAAGAGGTAAAAGAGTTCAGGCTTATCACTTCTTATGTCACCTTGGAATCAATGGGGTGGGGGGCAATTTCAAATTGCCCAAGTGATGAATAAAATAGCTAACCTCACAGAGGACTGAGCCTGAGCACGCCTTATTCACACACAAGGACAATGTGATATCAGGACCTACACCTTCCAACCCAGCAGAAAGGCTGTTTAAAAACTTATTTATTTGTTCTTAGCAAATTAAAACAGTAACAACAAATCACCAACTAATCGGGTTCTTTTGAGAAAACCTAAGTCAGCTCTGAAAGTAAGTAGTTCACTGAAATGTCTCAGTTTCTGAATTCCCGCCACCCCTGGGCTGACAGTCGGGTGCATCCCGTGAAGCAACTCAAACCTAGTTCTTACACTGAGGGAAATGAATACTGTAAACAGGATTTAGGGGCAGTACTGGATTTACAACAAAGAGAAGGGACTTCTTGTAGTAGCAGTTTTCCACTTATACTGCTAACATTTTCCTTTTTAAGAAAGGTCATCTGCCTCCTCCCAGCAGAGCCCATCTCCTAGGTGCTGGTTGAGCCTCTTCAAACAGCAGTTCCTTGGAAGGGTCACCTTGAATGTTCTGATGCAGCTCTGGAGGATGCTCTAAGTTAGTTGACCATGATGAAGTTAGATTTGCAGTGAGCTTTAAGAGAAGAAAACAGTCACTGGGTTAGAAACAGGAGGTGACAAATGAAATTTACTAATGTGGTAGAGGGGTACTCAGGTCAGCCTTACCTATAAATTCCGTCACAGGGTCATGCTCGCCTTCTGTTTTAATGGTGCCTGCGATGCTGTCATTTTCCAAGATGGGGAGGAAAAGCTGCACAAAGTCAGAGGTATACGGAGGGGCAATGACATCCAGTACCTACGTGGAGAAAACATTGCCTTACTCCTCTGCGCAGCCCGTGTGGGGCGCTGATCGACGTGTGGGTGAAATGGCAATCAGTTTGGACACAAGTCCCTCCCCTCCCCTGCCCTTTTGCTTCCTTCATGACAACACTAGCCTCCAACATTACGACACCCGGGGTAGTAACGCAGGTAACACACATAAGACAGTTCCTGCAGGTGGGAGGTGCTTGGTAAATTGTTATCTGTCATTGTCATCACCATGATTATCAGAAAGTACAGTTCTCAGATTCAGGTACAAAATGAACTAAATAAAGCCAAAAGGGCACTGCTACTGTCAACAGTATGAAACATGAAACCAACGGTGTATTGCTGACCTCAGTGACAAAATAGCGAATGAGTGAAATGTCAGTGTCCAGCTTCTCCAGACACTTTCGGATGTAACTGACAACAGGAAGTACATAACCTCGACTCAGCAGGTGAACCATCCTGTCCAGCAGGGTCTTCTTCAACTCAAGCTACGGAAGAGTGGGGGGCAGAGATGCTGGTCAGGATGGGGTCCTCTTCAAGCCTCCCAACAAACCCCACGGGGTGCCCACTCACCTGCTCCATCACATCCAGCTGAGAGTGCTCAGTCTCAAAAAGCTTAACAAGCAGCTGCAGGACCTGGGGGTGCAGGAGCTGGTGGCAGGTGCTGATCTACAAACAGGCCAAAGACAGCCTGGCTGAGCGGTGTGTTAGGCCTTTGGGTTGAGTGCAGGGAACCACCCTCATGGTGATCGCTGCCGATGACAGGCCCAGGGCCTGCCAGCTTCTATGCCACTCCTCAGGCTTCCAGTAACACTGGATAAAAATTTAGAAATCTACACAGTCAATGAAACTAGATCCTTAAAAAGAAAATCCTCATGTAGGATAGAAATGACTAGTTTTGAAAAGAATATCTTCTGAACTCACTGACTAGATGCCGTGAAAGTGACATAGACACCCTTCAGGTCTCACTCACCTCATCCAGCAACGCCAGGTGCACCGGTGTATGGTCCGTCTGTAGTTGAAAGTACCTTGGTTCTGACACGGTCCAATCCACCCATTTCAGCACACCCATTGCTACCACTGGAAACCTACGGGTAAATAAGAATGCTTCCTTTAAACGCAGCTAAAAAAAAAATACCAAGACATGCTAGAAAAGCACTAAAGGGTTAACAAACAAACAAACAAACTCAAACTATCCCATCAATTTGCCCTTCAGTGTGCTTTGCCAGGGAGTTGCTTACTAATGAAAACAGTCTGATCAGATCAGCAGCCTCCCAAACGTGCAGGGCGAGGAGCAGACCTCAATTTTCAGCTGGCTATAAACCACGTTACCAATTTAAAAGGAAGAGATCATTAATGCAAACCACTCAGTGGGTTTGGCAGACGGGTTAAGTTTACCTTTATTTGGCAAACCCTTTCTTTGTCCCTTTGGAGGAGGACACACTATTTCTAGGGCACATCTGTTTATGTAATTGGCATAGTCACAAAACATTTCTATCTAAGCAATACTTTGTTGGTCTGACTTTTACTATAAATAGACCCTTTTCTTCAAATCAATTTTTGTATTATTGGCTGGTCTAATTTGTGAAGATTTACTGAACAGACTTCTGGCAAGAAAACACCTGAAAATCAGCCATGCTGCTAAAGTTGTTAAAAGAAGAAAAAGAAAATGAATAAGTGTCCCTGAGGCTTTTGATATTTGAGCTTTTAATTCAAACCACCTCCTTCCCAAAGGATGAAGTTTAGTAGGAAGTCTCCTTTTGCTCACCTAATACACTGATAAAGTGTGCTCAGCTCTGCCACTAGTTCAGAGGCCCCTTTGTTCTCATTGCAACACAAATTGTGAACAGTTTCGATGGCTTTTGATGTTGACTTCAGCTCATCCTTGTTGATGTTCACACGCTTGTTCTGAAAACACACAAGTTGGTGACTCCTCACATACCCTTGCTGTCAGGATATTCTGGCCACTTCTCTCTGCAAATCACCTTCCCTGTCTCTGAAGTTGGGAGTCAATTTAATTGTCAAACTTCACAGTCACACATTGTAAAGGAATAGAAAACCAATGAGACTGGTGTCGTCTGTGGCTTGGGAAATCAGTTTCGTTTCTTTAGCCACACGTCCAATTACAGTGTGTGGAAGTAATACAGATGCTACGTGCATCTTCTTGAGATCTTTGGCACTTTCACTGCTTGATGCACAAACAGTAGAAAAGACATTGCTGACACTAGACAGGCTCAAGATTTCTTGCAGCCAAAATTCCCAAATATCAAAGCACAGGAGAATACTTGTCTCCTAAAAGTTCACAAATTCTGGGCTGGCCCGTGGCTCACTCGGGAGAGTGCGGTGCTGATAACACCAAGGCCACGGGTTCGGATCCCATATAGGGATGGGCGGTTCGCTCACTGGCTGTGCTTGGTGCTGACAACACCAAGCCAAGGGTTGAGATCCCCTTACCGGTCATCTTTAAAAAAAAAAAAAAAAAGTTCACAAATTCTCAGAACTGATAGTACCTTTTTCCAGGTCTCAACTACACTTGCTGCATAAGCCAGGATGTGGATGTACTTGTGTTTGTGGTCCTGGTTGATCCTGGCCCCTGGCTTAAACAGTGACTGCATGAACAGGTCCAGGAAGGCTGGCACCCGGATCTGAAGAGAAGCACACACATGCGGGAGGAGAGTGGGAGCGAAGGCGTGCGCTCATTTCCCCCCTGCAGGGCTTGCTACATGGCGGGGCTCTAATGCTTTTGAAGGCTGAGCACATGATGGGGAAGGACCAAGAAAATGACAGAAACATTTCAACAGGAATGTGCACTCACGGACTTAAAAGAATCAGAGAAACGAGTGGGAGCGAAGGCGTGCGCTCATTTCCCCCCCGCAGGGCTTGCTACATGGCGGGGCTCTAATGCTTTTGAAGGCTGAGCACATGATGGGGAAGGACCAGGAAAATGACAGAAACATTTCAACAGGAATGTGCACTCACGGACTTAAAAGAATCAGAGAAACAGACTTTCCAGAGTAACCCTGACGTTCAGCATTGGGGGTATTCCACCTTATTATTAAAATGAGAAGCAACTTACGAGTTCAACAGGAGGAGGGTCCATGCTGGTGAACATCTTGTAGAGGACAGTGATGTCAGCGGGGTTCAGGGCACCTTTGGACAGCATGGCACCGAGGGCCTGGCAAGCTCTGGGGTAGGAGGCGGCTGTACCTAAGGCCAACGTGATCTGACTGGCATCATGGCCTCTTGAGGGAAAAACCACACAGCCCAGCATTAACAGGAGAGCTTTCTCTTTTTTATTTCTTTTTTAATTTAATGCTTTAAATTGTTGGGATCCCTTTGTCTTTCCATATTTCTGTCATTCACTGGTATCCTGACTGACCCATGAAAACAACATTTAGAGCAAACTGGGAAAGAATGACTCAAATACAGCTTGCAGACTCTATAAAAGGAACCACACACTTTTTAAATATCTTATTAATACTATGTCAGTAGCAGAAAATAAAGCTCATAAGAGCTAAATTTGTTCTGTAAGATATGGACTACAATGTAATAATTAGTTACTGAATAACTAGTTCAGAACCATGTTATTTGCTATTGATGAATCCCAATACATGAAAACACAGGTCCACAAATCCACTGAACTGGAGAATAACCAAGTATTTATGAAACAGTCATCAAAGCAACACTTTAGAAAGTATGCTCTCCATGTGTATTTAAACTACCCTGACTTATCCAGCTCTACCAGAGAAAAGGAAGTTTACCTATAGGCCAAACAGAAGGAGCTAGAAGTGCTGGCTATGGAACTAGGGCCAAAGGAGGGCTTAGTGGGGAGCACTACGGAGGGACAGGGCAGGCAAAACCGGCCTCTCACTTCTCCTGGGCGAAGCGCTGCACTTCCTGAGCGATCCTACGCACAGCCGAGCCCCCTTGCTCCTCCTGGGCCAGCACTGACATCATGGCCTGGGCAAACAGGTATGTGTGCTCCCCATGGCAGACCATCTTCTGAAAGATCACAGGGGTTTGGGGTCTCACTGTTGCCACACTGACAAGTGTAGACAACAGTCCTCAGGCAGGGAAGATAAGATCGTAGAAGGTGCCTCTGCCCTGGAAATTCTCTAAAGGGAAGGAACATCTCATGCAAAAACAGCCTCTTTCTAATCTAAGAGTCATAAAGTAAAGAACTTACGGCAAACTCAGGGAGATTTTT